TATATATAGTTTGGTTTTTTTTGAGACAAGGTCTCACTATGTAGCTCAGGCTAGCTGTGAACTCACTAGGTAGCCCAGGCTGGCTTTGAGCTCACAACAATCCTCCTGCCTCTGCCTCCTGAGTGCTGGGATTACAGGCATGTGCCACCACACCAGGCCACACACTTACATTTTTAAAAACTCACCAAAATGTCAATATTGACTAGATATAAATAGTAGAATAACATGGAATATTTTCCTTTGTTTTTCCATATTTTCTGTGATGCACAAGTTTTGCTTTAATAATTAGAAAGAAGATAAACTTACTTAAAACTGTAAGCAGAAAAAATGTATTGCATAACTGAAATGAATTTTTATTTCATGCTGTCATGTTAACGGCCTTTAAAAGCTAAATGCATTTATTGATGCTGACTCTAAATTATTAAGCTATTATCTGCCTAAGTATTTCCAAATGATTTCTCCACCACATATTCAGAGGATATTATGTGTTGCTAAGGTTTACTTTGATATTTTCATGTCAGCTTCATTTTGCTTTGTGCGATTTTTTAGACCCTCAACACCAGGCTAATTCATAACTTCTTTTGGATCACATAGAAGTTGAAGCATTTTATTATGTGCATGGTTTTTCATAGAGATGAATCACCACTACAATAAATGATTAGTGCCTGCCAAATTAATCTCTTTTAAGTTTTAATATAGCTGACAGTGGTATGCAAAGGCCATAATTTTCACAAAGTCTTATTAATATTTCCTTTGCCTTACTATAAAATCCCTTCATCATCCAGCTTCTAACTCACATCAAAGATCTCAAAGCCCGCGATGTCCAAGACCCCGATGAAGTACTGCCTGGGCTGCTTGGTGTCCAGCTGCTGGTTGATGCGGGTGACCATCCACAGGAACATCTTCTCATAGACAGCCTTGGCCAGAGCACCCACTGCGTTGGTCACCTTGAAAGGCAAAGATATAACTGTTTAAGTTATTTGAGGGCTATAAAAGTGTTTCTGTCCTAGCAGTGACTTTGAATTAGCACCTACTTGCTCTACAGTCTGGCCTTTGGTGACATACTCATTGCCGACCTTGACCCTAGGGAAGCAAAGGGCTTTGAGCAGGTCAGCAGAGTTCAGACCCTGCAGATAGGCGGCCTTGTCAGCAACTAAAAGGAAAAAAGGTAGAAAAATATTGTTAGACCTCACAGAAACCCACTGTCTTAAAATTCTTTTAAACTACATGTATTTTGTGCATTGTTTTCAAAGTGTCTTTTAAAATATTCTTGTCTATTTTTTTTCCCACTAAGTTCAAGATCTCAGTTATGGGAATTTTGTCCTAAAGAACTTCAGAAATTATTGGAAAAATTGATCTAATGTTCATACTTCACAAAGTATATTATTTAGGCGTACTTTAAAACTCCATTTTTAAAAGTGAATTTGTCTCCCCTAGGAAAACAGGCAACAAGAATTTGATTTTCAAACAAATGTACAATCAAGTAGATGATGCAATTGATACCTTCAGTGCCATCTGGTTCTGCTTGCTCCTCACGCTGCTTTTGCTTGAATTTCATGTTGCCATAATGCATCACACCCCCGGTGAGCTTGTAAATGGAGACCTTCTCGTCATTAGTAAAGCCCAGAATATCAATAGCACTCTGTCAATATAACCAGTAGGATGGATAACTGTTAGGTTATAGTCTACACATTTGCTATTTATAATTCACACTCTCATTCCTGACTTCAGACTTAGTGCCCATACTAATGAGGGAAGGGATTTCTTAGATTGGGTGTAGAAAGGCCTGATGAGTCAAAGGCCGGCACAGAGCAGTAGAACTATAGGTGCAGAACATCTGAACATTCAATGTAAATTTAGTACAGGGAAGAAAGATAGAAAATGTAAGGTACTTGCTATTTTGAGAGGTGGTATGGATTTTTGCAAGTAAAGTTCCAATAAAAAGGCTTTGGGCAAGTTCCAAATGACAAATCTTTAGAAAAGAATTAAAAGGAAAGCGAAATGTTGTATTTCCACATGTTAATCTTTTTATTTGACTCCCAGGGTCACATGTGTGCTCATCATCCTTAAATTTTCCTTTGATATTTCTACCAGAGACTCAATATTTATCTGAATGGACTATTGCTCTGTCCCAGCATAGTAACTCTAGTTATTCTTGTGTTCTACTTACATCTGTGGCCATGAGCTCTTCCTGATCATCAATGCTGGGCACACTGATCTCCCCTTGGCTGACAAATGGGTAATCATATGGGTTTGTAGTGATCAGAAGCATTTCTAAGCACATAGAACAGAGCAAAGATAAGCATGATCATCCTCTTCATTGAAGCAAGAGATTTTTAGGCAAATTCTATGGGCACTGTATGATCTGTAGTTGAAAGATACTTGATGGGCACTTAAAAGATATTTAGCATCACCTCAAGCACCTTGAAGTTGATGCTGTGGCATCTCCCATCATTCCCTATTTTTAATACACTATTATAGTATAATACACAAAGATAATTACATATGGGAAGAGCTGTATGTATAAGCATACTCACTATAGTGTTGTCTATTTAAAATCCAGATTTAGAAGAAACTTAAATACCCTTAAAGGGGACAGAGCATGAGAAAGTAAATTATTCTTATCTCTGGAATGAAACACTATGCAAGCATTAAAAATCATAATGTGGATTTACTATACAAATTGACAAAGAGAAAATTATGATATACTCAATGAAAAAACAAATTACAAAAGAGCATGTACCTATTATTTTAGTTATGTAAATCATGTTTTGTATTCATATGTAACAATATAAAATGACTACAATTATGTTTATCCAACTCTTCATAGTAGTAATTTCATAGTGGTAGAAATTGGAGGTGTTATTTTTTTTCTTGTAAATTTTCTAGTAAGTGCTTACAAATTTTTAAAAACCTAAAAAAGGGTCTTTTATTTCAGTGTTGGGCATGGAACCCAGGACCTTATGCATGCTAGGCAAGCACTCTAACACTGAGCTGCATTCTTAGCCCTACAAAGTTATTTTTAAAAATAAAATAATCCATAAACTCAACAAAATTCAGATATGGCAAAGTAGGTTGGGCCATGTGCCGATAGGTGCTTGTACAGTAATTTGGAAGAAATTATGACATTTCTTACCAATTAGTTCTGGTTTCTTGTTTGAAGTGATCTGATAAAAGATATGATAGCTTCTTTCAGCTTTAAGCTGGAAGGTAACTCTAGACTTCTCTAACAGATCTGGAAGGAAACAAACAGGAAAAAAATATTTAAAAATTAGAATACAAAAAAATAAACCGGAAAAAATATAAAAATCTATGTGACATGCATAAACTTTTGGTTAATTTTGTAGGTCATGAGAAATAGAAATGATTTTAAAGGATATCCAAGCACGTACATGTTTCAATATCAGCAGAAGCTAGTTTTCCTGTAGTGCCAAAGTGGATTCTGATGAATTTACCCTTGAAAGGAAAACTAATATTACTACCTTGTTTTTCATTATGACTGCAAAATCCAAAACACTTGAAATGCTAGTGCTTTAATATTAAATCAGTTCAGAAACTGTTCATGTGAGAAAGAAAAAAGTCTATCTCTTATCTTGTAAGTAAAATCATTTTATCTTTGATTTAAAATTTATGAATATAAATTATAATGGATCTGTTTTTTAGCTTGATTTAATTCTATAATCTATACATATATTAAAACATCCATGAATATTTGCAATTATTATTGATTAAAATAAATAAAAAATTTAAAGTGTGAATAATAGATAACAGATAAGAACTTAGGGAGTCACATATTCTTTCAGACACAGCTTTTGATCTATGGTTAGAAGAAAAAAACACAGTCTAATAAAAGGTGAATAAAAGACTTGGAGAATACATTCACAAACATCCGTAGAATGGACAGTATCCATTGTAGTATCCAAAAGACTTACAAAGCGAGAGGAGTTGTCATTCCTCACAGTCTTGGCATTGCCAAAGGCCTCCAGTAGGGGGTTGGCACTGATGATTTGATCTTCCAGAGTCCCCTGCAAAGGCAAGAGCAGTCCTTGCATCTGGGGCTTGGGGATTTCTTGCCTGAGAGCCTCAACAGAGCCTGGATTCTGACCATGGCAATCAGACCCACCTGAATTTTGCCAGAAGTTTGTTCCTCCTTCTTCTTGTCACCAGTAACCGCAATTGTTGCAAAGTACTGGATGACACGTTTCGTGTTCACAGTCTTCCCTGCACCGGATTCTCCACTGTCAGATCAAAACAAAATCAGGTGATGCCCCCAAAACCAGCAGCTATCACAATCATGTAAAGAAAGCATAAAATCTACATACGTGATCAGGATCGACTGATTCTCCCGGTCTACAAAAGAAAAATTATAGTCATTTAATACTGGGTTCTTATACATTGTAAATGGCAAGTGAAGTAAAATGGAACTTTTTATTTTTCAGTCCGAGTTTTGCAAGCTTTAGAACTTGGTGGGCTTAGGCCTGCCATCTTTCTGGCACCTCCACACCTCTCCCTCCTCCACTACTTTAGCAGACACACATCCATTCAAACTGGATGCCACTGCTTATAGCTCTTTTATGTAGTCAAGTCTTCCAAGAAATATTTCACTTGAAGAAAAGATTACATGGGAAATAAAATGACTGAAAGCCATAATATAAGTAATGATCACATGGCTGTATTTTCCTGAAGCACCAGATCTCCTGTTTAACACTGTGCTATTAAATAAATATCAATAGTAGACTTAGTTTTTCAGTTGGGTCTCAGTGACAGTTTAAATCAGTGGCATACTGATTGTAGGTGAAAAAAGTAATGAAAGTGGGCATTGGGGATATTATTAGTTTGTGAGTAGTGTATAAAGTAAAGGTAGCAGCTCTGGAAGGACTCATATTTTTAGTCCTGTTTTTAGAGGAAGGTAAAAGTTTGTTTTGATGTTATACTCTGTCTAATGAGGAATTCTTTAACCCATTTCTAAATGTACCCCAAATATCCTAGATATTTCTAGCTAAGTCAATATTGCAGGAAGCAGATTCCTGGCATAACTATTTTAGAACCAAATAAAATCCATAGCTGTTTAGGTGAGTTCTGGGCAAAAGGCAATGGCATTTTTGCCATCTTTAATATATAGAGACTATGTGTTTAGTGACAATTTATTGTAATGAGAGTAGAATCAAAGTGGCAAAGTTTATTCTGGTTTTTTGGCTCATAATAATGAAAAGCCAGTTTGTATATATGATCATATGACTATTAGTGTATATATTGTGTATATACGCCTATAGATATGTTTTGTATTTTTGCTCAAATTTATTTTAGTTTCTGAGTCATTCAAAAATAAATTGTTTAATCATGACCAATCTCTGTTGACTTTCAAACATTTAAGAGATCATTGGCCATTATGTAATATCTTACAAATACACCAGCTGCAACTAAAAGGGATCATTTTGGAGTGTGTTAAAATTGGTTGGAGACTTTCTCTCCTATGGTTCTATTCTGAAAAGACTATGCATATACAAAGCATCTGGCCCACTCACCAGTCAGCATGAACTGATAGGCATTGTCCGAGATGGAGAAGATGTGGGGCGGGGCCTCCTGGCGCTTTTTGCCTCTGTAGGCACCCACCACCTCGGGGTTGTACACCGGCAGCCACTTGTAGGGGTTGACAGTGACACAGAAGAGGCCCGAGTAGGTCTATGAAAGGAAAAAAAATAATAACTACTCCAAGATCTTTCCTGTTATTTGCATAATTCACTCATTAATTGGATTTTAACAAAAAGGATTGCTTTATGTTTGTATTCTGTACTCCTTCAAGGGATTAGAAAGAATGAAAACCAGTTGGCAGATTCAGCAATGTGAGAGTACCATCTTTGAAGGAAGGGACCATAATTCAGATTTCTTCTTGCTCCCTTAGGACCTGTCATAGTGATTTTCATATAGCATGAGCTCCAAAACCATGGCTGTTTGTTTCTGAATGTATCCTATGATACATGTTTACCATTATAAGGAGAACAGAGATAATTTAAATTTATGATAACCCAATTTGGGTATATGTGTTCAACAAGGGAGTGGCAAGGTAAACTGTGATAAATCTTAATACAACATGATGGAAGCCTTTAAAACATAAACATGACAACTGGGAAAATGTTTGCAAAATATTTTTAAGTTGTAAAGACAGAAAACAAAATGATGTAAATATACTTTGGTTACAACAGAGTGATTTTAAAAATCTTTGACAACAGATCTAGTAAAGGCACCAACCAATTAAAATGAATGTTGACTATGAATGCCAGGTACATCTGTATAGATGTTGCCCAGCTAAATACCAACACTGCTTAAACTATCCAAAAATAGCAATGTAGCATAATGCATTCAATTAAAAAATAGTTTACTGATGATGTATTAAATGACATGCCCCTCCAAGGAAGTAGGAAGAAAACAAATGAGATTAAGTCCCTTGAGGAGTTCCCAGTCAGTGTAGGAGACAGTGATATAAATGAATGATCAAGAGAAAATATGGTCAATGTGCTGGCAAAGATGGAAACACTAGGACAGAACACCCAACTCTGGCTGTGGAATTTGGAATGGTTTCACAGAAGAGGTGGCATCCCTGACAGAAGGAACCAGACCACACGGATATAATTATTGTTATTTGAGGGGGGTAAAAATGAGTGTAATTTGGTGCCTACAAAAAGATGAGACCCATAAAAAATAAATAAAATATAAATTTATCTTTCTCCTTCCTGGGATGATTCTGTAATTGAAGGGTGGGGTGGGGGGTAAAGAAGTGATTGAGATATAAGCAGTAACTGTTTAAATTTCTGTTCAGGGGCTTTTGGGCCCACTCAAACAATGAGGACAGTGGTCTCCCTAGGCATTGTATGAGAAGACAAGCATGAAGTGTTGGCTGTTGGACTTTGCCTTACAATAGGAAAAATGAACCTTTTAACTACTAGGCTACCATTGAAAGCATGGTGGAAGCTATGGGCTAGAAGGATACATGGTGATGACAGTCAAGACCCCTGGTGGGGGGACACTCACGTAGATCATCCAGGCTGCGTAACGCTCTTTGAGGTTGTACAGCACCGCAGGCTCATGCAGGTGAGTCATCATGGCCATGTCCTCGATCTTGTCAAATTTGGGAGGGTTCATTGGGAACACCTGATCATCCTTCACTGTCAGGGTCTGGTAAACAAGGAAGATAACCACTGGCATCAATTGAGTGACCATACTCCTCAAAATTCAACAGAATGTGGCAGCCTCCTGGGTCTCTACTCACCGCTCCCGCTTCAGTTTTCACAGTCACTTTTCCTGCTTCTCTACTCTGAATAGTTCCTTTGACAAAGGATTCCTTGGGCTCCGCCACAAAGACAGATGTCTTGGCATCAAAAGGCCTATTCTGGGCCTCAATGCGCTCCTTTTCAGACTTTCGGAGGAAAGGAGCAGCCTCCCCAAAAACAGCCATCTCAGAGTCAGCACTCATGGCTGCTGTACTCAGAGGTCCTAAAGGGGACAAAACATTTCACACTAGGTAGTCTGGACTGTTTTGTGTATTGGTAAATCTTTATATTGATTATGTTTCATGAGCCATTTGGGAATTCCACTATACCAGGCAATAAACATAAGCACAAGATCTAAAATATATCGGGTGGTCACTATATGCCCAATACATATTCAGGCTTTTACATCCATTACTTCTTTCTTTTGTCCTCCAAAGCTGGCATTCTTTTATATATATATACTGGGGATCGAACTTGGGATCTTGCACTTATGAGGCAGGCACCAGAACCACTGAGCTAAATCCCCAGCCCAAGGTTGGCATTCTAATCAGAAAGCAGATTATAGAGTTAGTGATGCTGCCAAGTAGCTTGTGACCTTAGGTGAGTTACTTGATCTTTTTGAACCTCAGTGTCTCCATCTTTGAATAGCAATTATAATGCCTGCCTTTTAAAAGTTATAACCTTTGAGATAGGGTGAAAATACTTTGAAAAAAAGTAAAAAAAAATAATAAGTAGTAATTTAAAATAGTTCAGGCTACCATTTACATGCAAAATGTCCTTTACTATAAAGTCATAAAAGTCCAGGTCTTGCCATATAAATATTGATAGTAAGAGAACTTCATTTACTTCTTTAGATGTTCAGCCAAATTTGCCCAAGTGGTTTTGAGGGGATTATAATTTTGTTCACCTTTTTTCCCTTTCTGTCTCTTTTACTTAGGTGCCTAGGAGATTTACTATAACATAATTTCTTTGTATATTAAATCCAGTTAATCAGCTTTGCCCACTTTAGCTAATGAAGGATAAAGCCCATATCCTCATTTTTCTGCATTGCAGAGATCCTTTTGCTTTTCCAAATTTCATTGTGAAGAAAGCAGGCCCTAGTTGCTCCATTTTGTTATCTGGAGGTTGCCCATGGTATTGGAAGAATGCAAGGTTAGGCAAAGAATGCTCGGGCAGTCAAATTACTTGAAACTCATTTAATGCGCTGTCCCTGTCTCCCTCTTTAGAAATGCAAGGTGTAGGAGGACTGATTGTTACCTTTATTATACTTAGAAAAATTCCAGTGTTTTGGTTTCATATAGCACTTGGTGTTTTGTGAAGGGACTTTTTTTGAAACAGGGACTTTAAGAAGTTTAAAGGCAACATTGTCCTATAACTTCCTTTCTATTTGTTGGATATTGTATTTATTAAATGAATTCTGTTACACACACTTTTACCAAATCTGAGCTTTTTAGCATGGGAATCTGAGTGCAGATATTTTTCCTGCAGAGACAAAATAATGTTCTATTAAAAATTATTCTCCTATTCAAATACCACACCACCAATGCTGGAGTCCTAAGTATGAGAGAACTCCTTCTCTTCCTCTCCATCCCTTTCCTGAAGTACAATTGTTAGAGGGTATTTACTGAGACAAGCACTTTCTTAGAGTTGCTGAGTGACATAAATTCATCTGAGAAGCTGTCATATTCACCTCCAGGGACTGGTTAGTCCAAACCTTACCTTGTTAGCAAGCGAGAAGATGTAGCCTGGAAGTAGGACAGTTCTGAAAAAGAAAAGGGAAAAGACCTTGATTAGTTAACCAAAAAGGGAAAGAAAATCCTATTTGCAGCATTGCTTGCTATTGTAAACAGACGGGAGCAAAATTTGTAGATGTAAAGTGCAAAGTAGCAGAGGCAGCAGTACCAGAGTCAGCAGCAGCAGCTGAGGCGACGTGGCCAGTGTCCCTCTTCAAAGACCAGTCCAGCTCCCACTTACCTTGGAGCTTTTTAAAGCAGGACAGTCAGTCTCATTCCGAAGGCTTTTTTATATGGATAGTTATGGAAACAATGCAGCTGCCTCTTCTTTCTTAAGTCAAAAGGAATTGTTTGGCAAAAAACCTCCTGGCAATCTAGTGTCCCTGCATGATTCTCATTCATATTAAGAATGGTTGGATATAATTAGAAATATTTTTCTTATTGAGTATGTGGATAAATCTCCTATGGATAATTTGAGAAGATGATCTGAAAGGAAGATTCAGGCTAGTGAATAAAGGCAGTGGCTGGGTAGCCAAGATACCTGGCTTCTTTCATAACTTCTTTCTGGCCACACTAGGCATACCATTCTTGACTGCCGTGCATCACATTTGCATTTTCACATATAAATAAAATACAAATATTTAATTTTATGAGTGTTAATTTTCACTTGTTAATCCCTTCCTTCCAGCCCAGCAAGACTAATGAGACTTCAACAATTTAAAAAGAAAGTTCTCTTTTGTTTTTCCAAGATTGCTTATAGTTCTAGGATTTTCTGAGCTCTTAGAAAAAAGCAATATTTTACTATTTACTTTTTCCCAAGCTGTCCCTTCTGCACAGTGCTCCATTCTCAGTGCTCCTTCTGCACAGTGCTCCATGCATTCCTCGTTTGATGTGCCTCAACAAGAAAGGCTGGCTATTTTCCAGTAGTAAAAGATGATATTAGAGAATACTTGTCATTGTCTTTTATGTCATAGCACCGTGAGAAAAAATGACAATAGTAATGTAACACTGGCAAGGAACACAGACAAGGTTTGGCTATGAATGGCTTGATGAAAATATTTCTCGCTTTTCTTAATGTAATATAGTAAATGTAATATACATAGCATTTTAAATATTAAATAAATTTTAAATATTGACTGTGCCTTAAACTTCCAAGTAATATTTTTTAGAACTTAGCTTGAACTAGCTTCCACAAACAAAACTTGTTTATATCTGGCTTTATTCTTGAGGTGACATGCATTTCTTGATCAAAATTTTTTTAAATGATCCAGACAGTATTTGCATTTTTTATAATTACCATCATGGAGATCTTTGCACAAGAAGGGGATATAAAATCAAGCTTTTTACAACTGTTGAAACTATATTTTAGAATTGTTCCAGTTCTTTTTCTTTGTTGATAAAAGATAATGTTGAATTTTCTAGGATAATAAGAATAAAATTTTAACCCATTTGAATTCTCTCCCATATTAAAATTTTCAAAAAACAATGAAGCCCTAATCTTCTGAGTATCCATATTTGCTAAAAGAATCCCCCGGTTACTAAGTTGGGTGAGGAGTGCATGGGTCGCAGATACACAGAAGTGGCTGGTAGAGTCAAAGCCTGAGATTTAGAGAGCTCACTCTGAGCTGCCTACACCAGGTCACCCTGCTCAGCTTTGTAACACCTTTCCTCTGGCTGGCAGCACTCTTGGCTTCCTGCCTTGCCCTGGAGCATCCTAGATATCAGCAACCCCAGGGGTCTTTATTAGCATCACACTCCCAGCTGGCTGCTGAACTCCTTCCTGGTTCTTTCCACTCAGCACATGGCAAATGCCACCATTGTGTTTGCCTCCTTTGGGAATTTGAGGGTAACTGTCAAACTAACACAGAGGTCACTTCCCAAGGTTCTGCTCCCAGCTTCTGCCCATCTAGCCATTCTAAGGCTGAAGGAAGCAACATTTCATGGCACTTCTGTAACTTTTTTTTTATTGCAACACACTCTGGCTAGGCAGTTCTCTAAGGGAGAAATGGTGGTATTTCCCCACTATGCAGCCAATTTTAGTGCCTAATCCAATTTTGATATTCTTTTGTTCTATTCCTGCTGCCTGCGGGCATTAACCTTATGTTTTCTTAAATATTTCTTTTTTTTCTTCTGGTGTTTGTGATGAAACCTAGGGCCTTACTTGTGCTGGCCAAGCACCTTACTACTGACCTATATTCCTAGCCCTTTACATATTTTTTGTTGTAGTTATTCAAGAAAGATCTTCACTTTAAATCATCTCATGCCTATATATTCTATTTCCTCAGTTTCTAAACTTCTTCCAGGAATAATGTATACTACAGGCAGGAACTTTCTAATGTATTATTATTATTATTATTATTATTATTATTATTATTATTATTTTGGTACCAGGGATCAAACTTGGAAACTTGCACTTGTGAAACAGGTGGCAGAACCATTGAGCTAAATCCCAGGCTCTAATGTATTATTTTTAAATGTAAGAAGAATTACAAAACCTCATTCTCAGTGGTTCAGAGTTGTACCTTAATCCTCATACCTATGCCACTTGGCTCATGATTTGTGACTAGTAATGTTCTCTTAGAACTAAGGCTTCAAGTAGGTATCACCCAGGATAATCTGCATTCCATTCTGTAAACAGGTCAAAGATATACATCCACTTTGTGCATTTTTCTTGACCTCACCAGTATATTTACTACTGTATTAATGAGTCAGGACTTATACTTTTCATTGTGCACTCACTGGGATGTGTCATAGTTAGGTCTGAGACAAATTAGGATAGAAAGCGTATAAGCGTGAATATCGGTTTGTGCTGTGCCTCGAGGTTCAAAGGGAATGGGAGCCACTGACTTTGGCTTTAGGAGGATTATTATCTGTAAATCAAGAAAGTATTAATGAAGTAGTTCAAATCACCTTCAAAAGAATATGAAAGCAAGTTTTTAAAAATACAAGTGTACAAGTTCTTCGCAGAGACTAAGTTATATTCTATTTGATCTTCTTTAGTATGTAATTTAGGTGCTACCGTATAGAAGTGCCCCCAAATTTTAGCTTACAAATTCCAAGATAATCCACATTCCTTTATTCTAGTCATGTTTGTACCCAACAACTGAAATTGGGACCTGAAGTTAACTTTTGACTACACACTTTGGAAATCTACTAACCCTACCCAAGACTCAGTTTCTTGCTGTATAAAATGGACAAGGAAGTGATATAGTAGTTTTTAAGGAGAAAATAATAAAGTGAATAGTAGTTTAGAATCATGGCTGACTCCTATTACTCATTCAATTGATGTTGCCATTTGTGATTATGATGGGCCCCATATTTTGTTAGTCCTTATTCTGAATTCTCTTCATTTGCAGTGAAACTAGTTTCCTTTCTGATCTCTACAGCATGGCATACTTGTTCCACTGATCCTTTCAATTACCTAATAAACATTTATAGTGTTACTATATGCAAGGTTCCAGTAAGGCTCCCTACTGCCATCAAGGAATGCCCTCCTCTCTTTCATGTCATTGTCTTATGTACATTAAACTCCAGCTCAGATATTACCCAGGAATTTTTCTTGGTTATTCCACTTGATAGAAGAGGAGTTGACCCAGAGAGAGATACAAACTTGTGTAAGCTGTTACATTAAGGTAGTTGTGAAGAAATGAGAGGCTGGCATAGGAAGTTGTTGGTAGAAATGGAAAAGAAAGGATGATGCAGAACTTGGTGAAGAGGTGCAGTCTGAGAAGGCGAAATCATGCTTGGCAACAGGATGGAAGGGAGGCTGATGTTTTATACTATACTTTTTTTACCTTTTGAATTTTGAGCTGTGTGGAGGTATGGTTTTAAAAGTAAAAGGTGATGATTTATCAGAAGAGAATCCTCTCTAAAAACTAAAAGAAAAGAACAGATGGAACTGAAAGAAGTATGACCATAGAATTCAAGAGATGGGAGATTAAGTCCTAGAAAAAAAAGATGGGACCCAAGATGTGAGCTTTCCAGTGGCCACTTCTCTCTCTTACATAGACCAGATCCCAGGTCCATCAACTTGCACACAAGAAATAATCGATGTTGAGATTGTTTTCTATCTATATGCTAACTTCCTGTTTTAAATTTGGTATCATTGTACCAACAATACACAGTGTAGAAAATAACAGCAATAGAAATTTATACTTCCAAATGTCCTAGTTGTAGAATTTCTAAGCATTTTCTTTATTTAAAAAAAAGTCTAGCAAGAGGCCTATGGGAATGCTCATGGAGTTATTGAGAAAGACTGAGAATCATTCCAAAGCCATTTATAATTCAGTATTGTTATTTATGACATAACTTTGTAGTAGTTCCAGATTAGCTTTCAAAGAATACATTATTTTGTTCTAATTTGAAATAGGTGAGGATGAGAGAAAGTTCATTATCTGCAAACACTCATAGGCAGAATTGTACAGGAAATTGCTGGAAATTAAAATCCAATGAAAATCCAAAGACTTGTATGTAAAGCCTCCTGTGAAGTGCTTAGGAGAGAAGATAGGCCATACTTGGTGCCCCACACCCAGCAGTTCCATCAACACAAAGCTCATAATCTGGATCAATAAAGGAGTTTTCTGACTCTTTGTGGAAAACTTTGGGAGGAGAAAAATTCTCTTAACTCTAAGCCACTGTATGTTTATTTGCTTTTTCTAATTATAAAAGTAATATCGGTATACAGATATTATAGAAATTTGGAAGGAGAACCACAAAAGCATAAAAGTTAGGAAATTATTTCTTAGTAGTGAATGTAGAAAAAAATGCCTTCACTTCTGTACATCTCATCATTCACTTCCTACCTCATATCAGGTTAATTTGATTATATAATTAAGAGGAATAATCAATATGTATATGATCTCTATTGGCCTCATGCTTCTCAAATAGTAGGCATCAATACATGTTGATTGAATGAGTAAGGAATACATGAACATTATTTTGGTATTGCCATTGTTTCCATGGCATTTTATAGCATGTGAATACTTCATGAGAATGATCTCTTTCTTTCAGCTATATATGGATAAGGCAGATATACTTACCTCATTTTTCCCTTGAGGAAACCATAATCCAAAAGGGTGTAAAATTACATGCCTAATCAGAATGGAACTCAAAAAAAAATTCCTGCTCAACTCACCATTATGTTTTAATACCTAATACAATAGATCTGAACGCTGTTCTTTCTAGGCTTGCTCTAAAATCCTTTAAGTTGACTACTGGGATGTAAATTAGTAAACTACTAACCTTACTAAAATATTATGGGG